CAAGCCCGCAAAAAGTCGCCTCTTTCATAGAACTCTCTGCGGCGTTGACCTCAATTTGACCCCGTACTGGCGATTTGAACGTGTGTTTAGAAATCCTTATAACTCGGTCAAAATGTATCCATTTGTTGAGATTTAAGCATTTTTATAAAGAGTAAGGATGAAACTGCCATAATATTATTTTTGTTTAATTTTAAAAATTAAATAAATGGACGAAAACTACTGGCAAATTTACCGAAGAAATACATTTCATTTGTGTGTAGGGAAAATCCATTTTTTCCTTCAATTAATCTCTGAGCCTGCGGATTTGAACATTATTCCCGTGAAAAATATATTAATCTAGCTAAAAATATTCACTTTTATGAAGATTCTTGTTTAATCGGGTCAAGAGCACGCTTTTCCCCCACCTTGTCCACCTTCAAATTAGTTTAGATTAGATCGTGGAACCGCGAATGAAATCCGATCTTCTGATTGGTCTATCTCCGCTTACTCACTGACGTTATTTTCATCGGCAACGATTCGGTTTCGATTTCCTCTAAAATATCGCTTTTGAGAGAGTTTTTAACGAATTACTTTCTTGATTTGTATCTTAAGACAAATTTTCTTTTATTTCATCGTAAATTCAAAGTTTAAATCTCAGTAGGTATTTTCTTATAAGCAGAAGTACCGATTGTCTAGTCCCATATAACCACTTTCATGGTAGGCAGCTCGTGTGTACCAACGAAGTCTAGCTCTAGCTCCGAGCTCTGTTCTATAGGGTCACGTTGACGTATGGCACATCTCATTGCCGCCGTTTATTTCATGGCAAAGTAATTACGGTTCCACACACAAATAAAAGGATAAACTATTCATGAAGGATTTAAGTTTTTAAGCATAATAAAGTAAGAAAGAGATGGGGGGGGGGGGGGGTCAGTTCATTTTATTTTTGTTATGAACTAGATCTATATCCCAGCTCAAATTATCCGACAAGCAAAAAACCCAATGCCCCCACACCCTATGATTACTAATGAAAAACGGGTCCCCCTGAAATACCCTCCCTAATTCACCACTATATATCTTTCGATCAAAATTTACTTTTGATTGATATATTTAATTTGTTTAATCAAATTTTCCTTCATTTGAGATTGCTTCTTAATGTTTTTTTGTTGTTGGAATCCTTCTCATTCTTATTTCAGTCTTCATGTATTTAATCTCACGCTCTCTCTCTGCACACCATGGTAGGATCCCGGGGGGGGGGGGGGGGGGGTGGCGTACACCCCCTATTTTTGCCAAGCAATATTTCTTTGATGAAAAATGCAAAAGCTCCACACCTGCATCCCCCACCCCCTTTCTCAAAACTGTGGATCCAGCCCTACACACTGTACATCTTCTCGTACTATTCCAACCACTCCTCACTCTCTCTCTCTTTCTCTCCCTCACTCTCTTCGTTTATTCCATCTTCAATCATCTGTCAACCACTCTCCACTTAACTAGACTAAAAAACAAGGTGTTTGACAGCAACACTATATAAAAAGGAGAAAAAGAATAAATCTAACTCGTAAACATAAGTTTATGACATGAATATCAAATGGTATACATTGCGTACAACAAATAAGTGGCAGGTCCCTGAATATCACACACATTAGATTACGCAGACGTGGCTCTAACTTTATAAAACAAAGTCAGCGTACATGAAAATTCTCACTTCCATAAATGAACAACAAGAATGTTAAGTTCAGTTAAGTTAAGTTGGAATGCAGATAAAGCACACAAGTATACAAGTAAAATATGCACATACAATTTGTAAGAGACAAATGTATGACAAAAATATTAACAGATCGACCAAATGGCATAATAATTCTATCTCTCCCCCGACAAAATAAAAGATATCAGTCTATCATGATATGGTTCAAAATACATTTTCTTCAACAAAATAATGCTGATAGTATTCAATGAGTGTTAATCGCAGATCCAGACACATAATGGAATACAATGGCAGGAGTATTTCTTTGGCAAGTCTATTCCAGCAAGATAAGGATAGGAGTTGCACCATATGAAAAAAAAAAAAACTATATAAATACTTACACAATATAACTTACACATATTATATACAATATCTTGTCAGAGATCCACTTTGAATAGATGTAGGACACTTTCTTTTGTACAAAAATGTTAAAGTAACAGACTACATGAAGAAGACAAAAAATTCTTCACACATACATTACACAGCAGAATATAATATGACACCTTAAATGCATTTCTCCGACAAGTTAAATTTAGTCTAGCAAGATAATGCTCTCATATATACCTGTATAATGTCAAAACAAATATGTATTGATAACTTTCTTCACTCAAAATAACTTAAACATGTTATATGTAAATGACATGTCATAGTAACAGTAGCAAGGCAAGAAATCTTCTTCAGTAACGGTAAGTAAATGTTGAAAGCAAACAATAGTATCATCACAAATTCTTCTGTGAAAACATGGCAGAAGACATCTAACTCTTTGGCAAGTTTCCTTCAGCAAGTTAGGGCTACTGGTAGGTATAAACCCTGCAATAAAAATGTATATTTACATACTTGTTAAACACACCTTATGTTGTTATATAATATCATAAGCATTGATCCTATTACAAAACGTCCTTAGCCTAATTGACTTTACATAGTCATAGTCAACATAGTCATGAGGCCCTTTTGGCACAAGGCAGACAAATTATCTTGTTATCGAATCATAAGAAAAAGAGGCAAGAAACAACTTTCTTAATTCAGAAAATGTTGACAGTAAACAATCACAACTCATACAACATACATTTGGTAAGAAAAGTATAAAATGACAGGAAAGACTTCTTTGGCATATTTCCTCCAGCAAGCTGGAACTAGGTTATGTATCTATAGTATACAAAGTAAAGTACTGTTGAAATACTTGTGCTGTGTCTCAAATCAATAAACTTGAAATTTACGTATATAAAATAGAATACTATGTACATGTACATGTTTACATCACACACAGGAAGAATGGGAACTGGCCTGTCCCCTAAATGGTTTCATTGTTACATATCTTAGCAAAATATAATTAAAATCTGCATGACCCGTAGTATAAAAAATGAGGTTGGGCAGACTGTCTCTATTTATTACACATCAATAAAGTTGATTTCCTCCGCATCGCCAGTATTTCATGTATCCGGTAAATGTCTGGTTGTTACGGGTGAATTACATATTTAGGTATTTCAAATACCACTAAAATAACTCGTCTTCAGACAGATCAGAGCATGTAAAGTGGTTATCGGTTACACCATCCTGAAAATCAGTATCTTGGTTTAACAATTCATCGACTACATGTACGCATTCATCGACTTCTTCATCGGTCTCTTCATCGTCATCATCGTCAGAGGATGAAGAAATTGAATCATCATGCAACTCTTCAGAAGGGATTGGAATATTAGTGCAATTTCTACATCTGCACCCTGGGCCACATAACTGATTATTCTTTTTGCACTTACACTGACGAGTTGAACATTTGTTTTTGCTGCAACCACAACCCCTAGTTAGATACATCATATTGTTCCGGACTTTCTCTAAATTTTCGTCAGTATCCCATGTAACATCTATAATTTGCTTTCCATTATCATGTATGACAACAAATCCATAACTGTTAATATCTGGATATTGAAAATTTGGTACAGTGCAGCTGTTCCAAACCTGACTAACCCAGCATGACCTCAGCCAATGAAATTTCAATGCAGAGTTGGAAGGCATTAGTTGGTCTTCGTACGAGCCAGTCCAAGATGCCTTTCTTACTATTTCTAAAGCATTGTAATGTTGCTGAAGGGGTGTTGCATCATTTACACTGTTAAATAATTCAAAAGGAGATTCAAAATTGTGCAATGAAGCTCTATTAGCCTTGTAATATACACACAAAACTAATCTATAAAAGGAGAGTAATCCTTGTTCAATGTTACTTTCAAGATCAGTACATGTTAAATTTCCTAATGTATTTCTTGTGGTTTCTCCGCAAATAAATGAGGAGTATTGCAAAAATGCTTTGAAAAAGGCACTCTTGCCCAGACGAGCAAAATAAGACACAAAGTCACATCCTGTACTAATATACAACATCTGCACACATAAACCTAAATTTGTTTGCTTTTCTACTAATGGAGACATGTCAGAGTCTGATGAAATAGCATCCTGTAAAGCATTCAAATTCAAATATCTTTCATCTCCTACCCTCGCTTTATACTGGATGCAGATTAGTTTGCCATTGAACTTTAAGGGTAACCCTATTAAACCCACATCTCGGTCTATGGAATATATTAGAATACTTGTGCACACAGTGTCGAAAACATGAAGCCATATCTGTGTATCAGATTCCTCATGGTTGTGTTTCAGGTGGTCTTCAATACCAGAGTTTGTTACTTTAGCTCCTGACCAATCTGGAAATGTATCAAGACCTACATGAAATCCACCAGAGGTGACAAATACTTGTCCCTCTTTTAAGTGAGGCTTTACTAAGTCTAAAAATTTTCTTGATAGATAACGGATCAGTGTGTGTTTATTGCGTCGACATTTCAAAAACTTTGACCAATTTGATGGGAGTGGTGTATTGTCATCTATATCTTCGAACACATTATCAATGTTTTCTTCATCATCACGTCTAGACCGCTCTATTCCTTTGGGAGATAAACCCTGTGTATTTACCTGATCAAAAAGAATACGTACTTCCTTGAACCCTTTCTTATAATATGACAATATCCATCTTGAAACAATGAATGAAACATATTCCTCAAAAACTCTAGTATGGGGAAGGGGAGCTGAATATATGATATTCATTCCCTCGCCTATAAAACATGACTCTGCAAATTCAATAGAAGGAGCATTAGTAACAACCTTGTACTTATCCACATAACGCTTCTCAAATATATCATAGATTATGTATTTGCTACCTTTGTGTGGCAAATTGTCATGTCCACATAATGCACGAGGTTTTGCTATAAATTGACATAAGGCACGAACTGGTTGATTTTTTTCTGCAGAGTATGCAATAGTTCTTTTGTAACAAAGGGTTATCAATTTTTTTTCTTTTTCAAGACTTGTTATTTTTTTCCGTGAAACTTTAGGTTTTGAAAAGGTTTTTAAGGTGTGCTTATGAAGAGTTGGCTTTGCAATACTGTTATCTTTGAGAACCTGGGACTTGCAAAAAAAAGTGTAGGCATCAAAGCCGATTTTACGATATGAGAGAAGATCGTTCTGTTGGATGCTCGATGTAGATGCACCATTAAAAGCATGGTGTAGCACAGCATTTTGCTCAGGTGAAAACATGTCACTCTCTCCTACCTTCTTGTAGTAGCACACTACATTTGCAAACTCTGATTTGATAACAGACAATGACAAATCCCTATGAACAGGGTTGGAAACCTCAGAGAACTGCAACTGTGTACCAAAATTTTGAATTACTTTAGCTTGATATTGAATACTACTTGCAACCTTCTGCATATTCTTTGGCAAACCTCTACATAAACATACCTTGGCATCCTTATTAATTAACATTTCGTGGCTCTCATCTAGGGCAGCTGAACAAAATTCCATTCCTTTTATACTATTTACAAAAGCTCCTCTCCTAAAATGGTCTAGTATGTGATCCGGTAAAGCTTCCATCAAAGCGAGATGATGAGGAATCATTTTTGAGTAATTTACACGGTCAAAAGCATGGAAAAGAGGCACCATCTGCTTTATCGCACCATTCCTTAGGTCCCAATTCCCTGAACGAATCGCCAAAAACAATTGAATATAAGCCATGCAATCTACATGAATAAATGCATTCCAAAATTTGAAGGTCTCATATTTATCCGACATTTCGGTACAGTAATCATGAAAATCCTTTTTAAGCGAGAGATACATTGGAGATTGAAGCAAGACTTCTTGAGAATCTCTGAAAGCGCTACCATCAAACACACCATCTTTTACCTTCAATAACTTAACAACATCTTTAATTTGCTGCATAAACATATCGTTTGTGTATGTACATGCTTTACCACTTCTGTAGTCTAAGAAACATTTGAATTGAAATAGAAGAAGAGCTTCATGTGCTTGAAGTAAGAAACGCTGGGTTCGTTTAAAATTTGAACAGTTTGAAAGACTCTGAAGTGTAATAGTTTTGTGAGTTGCTTTGGCAATTTCTCGTAGGCCAGCATCCCAAAATATTTTCATGATAACCTCTTGATAATTCTTCAGAAAATGCCAGTCTCCTATGTAGGGTATAAACCAATCGAGAGACTCCCCATACTCCCTCTTTATTTCCAATAGCATTTTAAAGGTTGCACCATCACCAGATACAACCAGATGATTTACCTTCTTTGACACCTGAAAAAGATCATAAAGCAGTTCCATGCAATATTTCAACGTCTGTGGATGATCTGCTTTATGGTCAAGGATATAAAGATAAGAAAACTGAGATTTCTCAATATTCTGGTTTCGACTTTCAACAATTAACTTTGGTTTAAAGCTTGGAACTAAAATACTATTGTCATTAATAGTTGCAAATCGTTCTGCAGCATACAAAAACATCTTATCACATATTGAACTTAAAGCGACATTTTCATTGTCACTTATAGTAAATGTTTCCCAAGACACATTGGACCTCATGTATGTTTTAAATTTTGGTGGTTGAAAGTAATCCTTCCCAACTGCCAATGAAGGGTCGTGTAACTTGATTCTTTTTCTTGCCGACGGCTTTTTCTTTCCATCACTTTTAACCTGGGAGATTACTGAACTATCATTATTAACTTGAGAAATTAGTTCATATGTCGGATGCAACAACTCAGTTACTGGTTTGGGTTGTTGTGCCATTATAGAGGTTCCATGCCAGCTCCGTGGTTGATTAGGATTAACTGCTGCAAAAGAGGCTAAAACATCGATGTTGTCTATAGTAACATGGGTTACCGCACTCTCATTCAGACAAGATAAAAGACCTGAAGAATCCCTGGAATCTTGCACAGTCTGTAAAAATCGTTCCAAGGTAGCTTCTGAACAAGATAACCCAATTTGATTCATTAATTTCAAAAGTGTGGATGAATGTGAGTATCTTTTAATCAAATTTGCCATGATGATATGAAATGGATAAGTGGAAAAATCCGTTAAGGCATATTGCATGATGAATACGGCAACAACACGTCTCGTTTTTCTTCGTTTCCCATGTGATGATTCTTCATTTGGGAATTTAATGAAATCTTTCGTAAAACAGATAGAAGATTTTTTGAAAAACTTAAGCTCTTCTAAATTAGCTGTAAGAAGTGAAATAATATTCCAGATCAAAGGGTCGAAGCTGGCTAAAGCACTATCAAAATTGAATTCATCAACGGAAAGAGGGTTTTGAGTATAAGTTTGCGTAATATTTTTCGTTTGCATAACTAATCTTTCATTGGCATCAAGGATGACTTTCTGGTACATTAGGTCCATAGAACCACCTTCCCCATGTTTTCTCGTAATATCAACATTATCATCTTCTACACCTTTATTGAGAATTCTGATTTTAGCATGTGCATAGTGAACAGCATTCAGCAACTGTTCTGTGGAAACATTAGAAATATAATAAAATAATCCATGTTGCCTAGAAAGTTTGTGTTTTGATAATACATTCTGGAATGTTCCTTGTATCTTCCCACGAAACCATGTTACTGTTCTATAACAATCATCATATATCCAGTCGGTTTGGCAATTGGTCATAAGATTTTGTAAAAAAAGGTCATAAGCATCCATGAATAAGAATCCATGATTTTCCATGCACCATGAATATACAGTCTTTAGGGTCTGGTTACAAGTTACTAATAAAATTGACTCTGGTGTGTCATTTAATACCAACTCTGTGTCTAAAGTAAATTTGATATCACTTAATGTGTGTACAACTACCTCAGGAGAATTCCTGGTTGATAGATTATAACACTGTTTACAAATTATACTGTTGTCATCGACATTGAGTTCATCATTAATTTCACGTAATTTGAACAGGTCTACCTCTTGATTATTACACAAAGCATAGCGTTTAACAGTTGGACGTAAAGTGACAGAACATACACAACAGTATCCGAGTCCAGAAAAATTGGTTATGTGGGATCTGTGTTTTCTGCAAAGGGGGACTTCATCAGGGAGAGTGGCATAATTAAGACAGAATGTATTGTTAAATTCTTCCACATTTAATCTCGAGTCAAGCTCAGAAATATTGTGACATAAAAAATCATGCGACAGAAAACATGGAGGCCTTTCTTTTTTCCTTGATTTTTGTGGGGTATATTCAGGATTGTCTGCTTTTTTTGTATACTTTTGTCGGCATGCATTACAAATGCACTGATCATCTTGTATGTCAGGTTGTTTAGAACGAATTATATTAACTAACTTATCTGAACGTGCAGACCAAAGATGGAAACATTTAGAAACTATTGCCCGATTACATATTGCACAAGGGTCACTTCTGTTTTTTTTACACCTAAACACTGCCTTTTCTTCACCTGAGCTTTTCTTTTTCCTTACCCCAGCTGCTGGCTCAAAATAAAAAGTACATGGATCAATAACACAAATGTGGTCTCTAGACGGGTCGCTTGATGTTTTACATTGGTTGACTTGATTGTAGTGCTGACAGAAGTTGGATCAGTCGCGTGGGGGCACATTGTTGTCCAACATTGTATTCTCTGCATAAATGATAATTATTAAAAACATGAAGTTATTCAAAAGATATACATGTACATGCACAAATGTATGTTCAAATCAATTATGTTATCTTGGTATCTACATTGTAATTTATGTACATGTATAGTATTAGTAAAGTTTTAGTATGTACAATTGTACATACAATACACGAAACATAAAATTCATTTGTTTATAAAGTTGAGCTTAAAATTACAATTATGGGCAGGTCCAAGCTATTTGGATTGTGACGTACGGGACATTCAGAGACTTTAAACAAGAAATAACAACAGATGAAATTATTTATATGGCTATCTTTTGGTATGAGTCTGTGGCTATTATGGGCTACTTCATTTGTGGAAAGTTTTAGTTCTGACCAATTCATAAATTAATTTTTAATGTAATTAATGTGCTGCGTGACGTACGGGACCAGAGAATTTGTGACTTTTTCAAAAATAAGTTCTTCGTAAAAGTTCTCTGAATTTATTAAGTTAAGAGATTTATGGTAAAGATATCTTAATTCATTATGGAATCAAGCATTAATCACAACTATAACCAGATTTTTCTGACCTTTCGTTGTTATGTAATATACCAAAACACAAATGTGTGTATGTGACGTACGGGACACGTGACGTACGGGACAACTTTTCCCTATGGGAAAATGCATTGAAATGAAGAATTTTCGTCAAAATTTGTTAAATATGAACAACTTTAACTTAAATCAGTGACAATTAGAGTGTTTTTTAACCCAATTAGATCATCTGACCATCACTTAATATCCTCTGTGTTAATTTATGAGGTAAATCAATACAAATATTACTTTAATAAAGAAAACAAATTAAATTACATTCATACACACTTTAAATGTATTACCATTTTTATTCCATTTACCCATCTATCATGTGCAGACATGCTTCTTTTCTCATAATTTCTTTCATCCATTCCATTCAACAGTGCTACATGTAAATGTTTTAAAATGATAATTAATGAAGAAGATGAACTTGAAAACTTTTCATTTAAACTTGTTTGAAACACAGGGGCACACTCGGCACATCATATTTTGTCAAAGAATATTTCTTATGCTCTAAGTGTTTGTGAACAAAGATACTTTACAAATATGAAATCTTTTCTTCATAGCTTGTTTGAATTACTTGATAGTAAATTAGTAATATCATAGAATTTTGAAGGAATTCAAAGATAATGCTGAACATATTGTCTTTTTTAAATCTCTTTATCACAGATTAGAATATGTACATGTATATGTTGCTGTCATATATTCAAGAATTTTGATGTACATTAATGTACATGTTTGTGAAAGATGGATGCAAAAATGTAAATCTTGAATGTTTTTTGTATTGATTAAAGACATCTTATTAACACCTCCAGATATAAGAAATTAAAACCGTAAAGGTTTGTGTAACCTTTTCCACAATTCAAAAGATTAAAGCGTAAATCAACAAAAATGCATGGGTGTAAACGTGATGAAAATCTGAATTTGTGAGAGTGTGAAATACTCAAAAAGGCTATCCTTCCTTAAAAGTTATGATTTAGTTTTTCGGAGATCAGAATTCCTGAGCTGGCTCCATAACATGTACATGTACAGTGTATGCTGTAATCCTTTACCATCAATCCATCATATATGACATTTAAATAGAATCTCAAAAAACAACCTCACATGGAGAGCTTGATACCATGTGCTATTCTTACCTGCAGCATCTATGAGTTGTAAAAGCCAGCTTCTGGTGCATCTACTACCATATAATTTCATTAGACTCATTCCAGGAACTAGTACATGTACACTATTATGATTTACATATTTAGCATCCTGCCAATGTTGGGGACATCAACTGGCAAAATACCAAAGTTGATAATACCAGGGGTCTGGCTTGAAGGCTAATTACATCAATAAATATTCATAATTGAATGACACACGCCTTTAAGACTAAAACAATAACAACAACAACAAATTCCTAGAAGGGACCCAGTTGGAATGTTCTTATATCCCTGTATACAACAAGTTTCCTAACACAGTATATATTCTCCTTTAGGTCATTTCCTTTTTCACATCTTGCATTGGTTTTATATGGGGTTGTCCCGTACGTCACACACTTGTCCCGTACGTCACATTTCTTAATTTGATTATGTAATCAACACAGAATTTTTGTAATTTTTGTTAAACCTATTTTTTGTTAGGTATTCATCTAAATTAGAACTTCCTAGAATATCTTTAAAAAAAAAAATTATTTTCATAATTAAAATTAAACAAATTAATGTCAAATTGTGACGTACGGGACATCACACTTTGGAACCTACCTCATTTGCATAATTAATTAATTTTGAAAGTTTCTATATTTTTTTTCTATTTTCTAGCATGATGGTCTACATGTCCTGAGGTATTTAATTTTAAACAAATAATTCAAATGAGATACAAAAATAAAAATGTAATGTCCCGTACGTCACGCTAATTAACAAAAATCAAAGTTCGTGACCTTGGCATTCTTCGTATTTTGATATTTTTAATTTTTTTTTATCAGATTCATAAAATTCATAGTTTCAGCTTTAAAATGATGTATAGTTTGTTAAATATATATAAAGATGGAATTTGACCCCCAGAGGGGACAATAGCTTGGACCTGCCCTTATACAGTATGTACAGCTTTTAGTGTTCCACGAATCAGAGTACACAATAAGAATGATCATCAAAAGCCTAAAAATTATACATGTAATATGTTGCTTTTTAAGTACCAATCATCTCTAAGTTAGTCAACAAACTCTAAAGAGCAAACTACTTATTACATAAAAATAAAGGCAGAAGTTACCTTTTTCCTTTTCTTTCTCTTCTTGGATGCTACGTCACGACGGTGCTTCTGCCTCCCCTTCCTCTTTCGTAGGATGTAAGGACTAGATGGCTGTGGCAGACGGGTGCATATTTCTCTCGCCATCTTCCTCTGGTAGCATGTGTTGAGATGCAAGTATGGGATGAGGACATTACACCGATTTTCAGGAACAAACCTTCCAGGGGGCAATTCTACCTTTGTTGGTTGCGGGGCAGTCTTCCTCGGCGTAACATTCCCATCCCAATCGACACTCCACTTTGGGCGCCTCCCCCAGTGTCGTCGACGTGGTGGATGTCGCCTGCCTTCATTCTTCCTGCCGACCTTCTCCTTGCTGTCCTTCTCTTTAGTCTCCTTCTCCTTGCTCTCCTTGCTCTCCTCGCTCTCCTTGCTCTCCTCTTTCTCCTTGCTCTCCTCTTTCTCCTTGCTCTCCTCCTGCTTCTTCACCTTTTTTACTTTCTTGGGCGTCCACAGACGCTTGAGTTCAGGGGGCACATACCTCCGTGCCACAGACACAGGCTCAAGCAAGTTATGGAGTTTATTAAAAAGTTCACGTCCAAGAACACACTTGCCACCGACATTCAGATGCAGGCCATCATGCGAAAACAGGCGGTCAGTTCTAATAAATAGTTCCGATTGGTCGAAAAAACAGGTACATGGCAATTTTGTAACGAGATTGTGAAGCTTTAAATTAAAATAAATACTGTTATCGTGGAGCTCCTGGCTGTCCCAACGAGGAATGATGGCACTAAACAAAATATATGAACTTGGGAAGATCTCCCGAACAACGTTATAAAGATTTAAATACTGTACTCCTGTCCAATCCCAAACACTTTCGCAAAGATCGTTGGTCCCAACGTGCAAAATCACAAAATCAACATCAGCATCCGACGCGTCTCTAATTCTATTCTTAATAAAATATACAAGTCTTTTTACAGTAGCTCCTGGTTTACAGAACAGTTTTACATCAAAAAAATCCTCAGGACAGTCCAAATTGCGTATTATAGAGTCACCATATATGTGTACTTTAGGCCGTGCCGGGCGGGAGGTCCTGGGGATGAACAAACAGAATGAAATATCAATATTTATATTTGTTACTCAAAGTTACAAATAACTAAAGCTCGAGTGAGAGTATGCAGCCATGAATAAAAGTAAAACATAATCATTACCAAAACCTCTTCCATACAGAGAAAAGTCGTTGCTTTAGCATTTTAAAATTGAGGTTTTATTTAAAATGGCAACAATTCCATTCAAAAATTTAACAATTGTGTTTGATTAAAATTCAGGAAATTTTAAGACTGTATGTAGGCTGTAGCCTACAATAATTTGATTTTGGTTTTTGACAGGACGTTGGTTCTGATTGGCATTGCCGAAGTATTACAGAAATATTAGAGAATATGTTATTTCTAAATTCAATATGCACAGTTGCAGTCTTGATTCATTTAAATTTCACAATCACATTCACACTTTCTTCATCATGTCTTCAATTCATGACAAATGACTTGTCTACTCTTGTCTTCTTACTCTTAGCCAGCACACTGCGCCAGGCAGTTTGTGCATCTGCAGTGCAATGAATGACAACTAGTTTATTCAGATTTCAGGACAACTTCAACAACTTTAACACGACGTATTTTTAATGTTAGTAAGATTACAGAACTAGATCTACCTACATGTATTTATTATGATAATTGTCGCGATGTCGATAGTCATATGATCGGAAATGACAATAAACCAACTCAAAAGAGCACGTACGGGACTGTAGAGACATTTATGCAACTCACGGTACGGGCTCGGTATCCCTCGAAAAATGGCGAAAATACGGGAAAGTCAGTAACCACGTGACCAAAATTTGGTAGTCGGGGAGTCAAACTACCGAAAAATCAGCAACTTTCAAGTCAATATTTCTCGAAACTTTTTTTTTTGAGCCTAAACAAATTTGGTACTGTCAGATTCGGCAAAATCTGCTCTTTCTGTGCGACTCGACTATTTTGGGGCTAACTCTTTAATCGGGTCAAGAGCACACTTGTCCCAAAGACATGCAATTTGCCTGAAAAAACGAAGAAATTTGAATCTATCCATATTTCATGACTTAACCAGCACGTAAAATTTGCAAAATTTTATCAGAATAAGGTTCAATAATCAACCAAACTACTCACCCCACCATGATGAACCATAACACACCGCATTGCAAACGTCAAGCCATCATACTGCGTGACTATATTTCTCGCATATCACGAGACCATTCGAGATCGGGAATTTGGCCGCGAGACGACTTCGACGAAATCAGCGATATTGCTCATTTGCATACGGACTTGCCGACTGACTGTAGAGTCCTAGCCAAACTGGTGCAGAGAGGCTTTAAACTTGATTTAATTTATAGTTAAATAACAGTTTTCTGAACAACATCATTGCCTTGCTTTGGCGCTTCAACTTGCTTTCCTTCATCAGATTCAGACATCGTTCTTATTTATAACTTGGAAATTGGTGACTGATGAAATTTGTAAATAATTCAGATGAGAAAGAAAAAATACACACAGGTAGATAGATCTAGGCCTACTGTTAGACAGATAAAAGGACTAGAAAACATATAGAATTCCAAAACACAATGAGTGATTTCAAGTTTGGTGTTAGTGTTAGTGTTAGTGTTTAGAGCAGTCAAGAGCTCTTAAATCGAGCGGAGAATTTGCTGATGAAATTAAGAGCCCGATACCAATATCAAAATCGATAGCTTAACACCAGCCGTGACGTCACCACATACTTGATTTTACGACGATGATTTAAAAATAGTACATCAAAACTAAAGATATCATGAAAAGTACAGAATAAATTTACACCTATTTCTCTGGTCTTAGAAAATAACTAATTTTACACGAAAGAATATAGGAATTACGTGTTTCACATATTTTTATTTGATCGTCAGACAATAAATTGGCGTCGTTCGTGCGTTGAATGTGCGCGGGTACAACACTAACACCGAACTGGAAATCAACATTTGCTTAATCCCTAGGGGCTAGTGTTAGTGAATAGGACATTTGTATGTAAAATATTAACACCAGCCACAAAGGTCAGTTCAGCAGACGACAATTTTGCAAAATCGATAACACTAGCTACCGGAAGTTGACGGTATTCAGAGGTCAAAGCCTTAACACCAGCTGATTTCCATTTCGGTGTTTAGGCTGGTGTTAGTGTTTATTAAACACTAACACCAGCCTTAAACACCCAATTTGAAATCACTCATTATATCGTTAACTACAAGTACAGAATACCCCTATTAACACTTCCGCCTTATTATGGGACATGGACAATGCCGGTTCAGCAAACAATACAAGGTACTAGGCCTGCTCGAGAATCCCAGGAAAACAGGTAGCTGTGAACAGAGTATCGGAGCATACAGGCACAATCACCCTAAGCCCGGCCCGTACTCATCGCCACGGACGCGCTCATCCAAGCACCACCGCGAAGCTCAACAAACGTTTTGGCCGCGTCTTGGTAGGTAATACCGACACTAATATGAAATTGTATGCTTAAAGGAGCATTGGTGAATAATATAAAGTGGATTAATGGAAAATAGAATAAATGTTCTACAAATCTAACATTAGATATTTGCAAACAACTTACATTTCAGACGTCTTTGCTTGACTTGAATTGTCTGTTACTTCGTCACTTTCCTACAACTTCGTCGAGTGTTAAGCATGGGAATGCAAAGTTTCTTCCGGTTTTAGTTTACACAGTCTCCTCGCGTTGATGATGGCAGCAGACCGTTTTCTAATTTTGATATTTCTCAGGTCACAGTGGACCTCAAAGGGAATGCCCCCTCGTCACCTTCCAAAATCAATCAGAGCATCTCCATTACATTTTTAATTGAAATATACTGCCCCGTTCTTGTCTTTGAACTTTAACATACCGTACTTATCACATCTCATATTTCATCCATATTTCTCTTTCATGAATATCATCAGTTCACAGTTTAATTTATGGTTGTGTATCAGTATGTCTGCAGCTCAAGCGGGAGCTCATGATCTTATTTCTGCAATAGTTTATTGCTAAACTTGCCCTTTTTACACTTTTCTTTTATTGTTTATTTGACTAGTGCAACCCTCTTATACTTGTCATATATCACCAGTCCCTCTTAAAAAGGGCTTAATCATACCATCATGTTTATAGCTATTTCAGTTGATTTCTTTTTTTCACATCCTAGTTGTGTAATAAACCATTTTCTTTGCAGATTTATCATTCTAGCTACCGGTAATTATAATCATCACTGCTGGCCACATATTCTGTTCATTTTTATTATTCTGTTCACATCTGGACACCTATTGCTCATCTTCATCATAATCATGATGATCATAAGCATATGATCATGGGGAGGGGATCTTTGGGGGATGAAGCCCTGAAAGGTGCCCTTTTTTCTTTGACAAGTGCCCCTTTTTAGGCCTTACCAAATGTCATTCGTGTTATAAAGACCGAGACATAATTACCATATTATGTGCTATATGTCAAGGTGTTTTATCACCTCTCATCTCCCTCAAAACAATAATTTCCCATAGCCTCCCCTATATATTATGTGCCCCTAATTTAAGGTGACCAAAAGCAATTTTGTTCTCAATTTAGCCCCAAACTTGCTCGCTACCCTCGCTTGAATTTACAGTTTATCTCATTAAGTAGTATATTGAAGGTCATATCTATTCTTTAATTATGAGATTGGGCAAGGATCCATAGTTCTACCTAGGATATTATGTGGATCAGGTGCCAGAGCGGGGCGAATGTAACAGTTTCAATATCGATTATACCATGACCCATTTACAACAGTAGATGGCGCTAGTATACAACAACATGATCCGGTTTAAATACAGGCAGCTTGGAACTAATAATTGATTTATTAATTACTGTTTAATTCACTAAAAAAAAAAAAAGTATTTCAGCGGTGGAGATTGGTTAAAGATATTCCTATAGCATCTTGTTATAACATCAAAGAGTTTCAGAGGAATTAAATATTTTTACCAACACTTTGTAATACCTTTAAAACCCAATCATGTCTCATTATCACATGCAGCAGCAAAGTATGGTGTTGAAGCAGCTAGTCTCTTCGACCACATAAAGAGAAATTTTGAAGATCATCCCCAGCAATATATTAATTATAATGAAGCGGTGTATAAAATGAATAAAGATTGTTATTCTTTGCATGGAGGTTACCCTTTGAAGGTGCCCCCTTTTTTCCAGAAAGTGCCCTTTTTGCCCATGCACCCCCACTTTGAAAGACACTCCACCATCCATGTTAAACTGGGTAGGATTTTAGTTACTGTCGATCCGGGATAAGGGAAAAACAAGATTGTAATGTGCGTCATAGTAATAATAATAATAATAACTAGTTCTTATATAGCGCTTATATAGCACTTATATAGCGCTTATATAGCACAATACTATGAGAATATTGTGAGAACATGGCAAAAGTAACATGCCCTTTTGAATTGCAGAATGAATATTTTACGACTCTAATCTGGGATTCAAATTTATATGCACCAAGGAACAAGATTTAATAAAATCTATTCCTCTTTACGAGTCTCTTTACAAGTCTCCTTTGTACCATGGAATCATTCTTTGTCTGTCTCCCCTCCTCGTTCCAGCTTTTCTTTCTCTTTCTCTCTCCATGTTTGAACTACTAGTATCCAAATTAAGCACCAAGCAGAAATGGTTCTTGGACACCTACCCCCCCCCCCCCAGGGCAACCACCCTCTAGAACGACTACCCCCCCCCCCTCCTCCCCCTCGGGACAGCTGCCCCTGACAACTACCCCCTAGGATAGTTGTCCGGGGGGTAGTTGTCCGGGGGGTAGTTGTCCTAGAGGATGGTTGTCGTAAGGGGTAGCTGTCTGGGGGGGGGGGGGTAATTGTCTGGGGGGGTAGTTGTCATAGGGGGGATGTTGTCTGGGGTAGTTGTCCAGGGGAAGTTGACTGGGGGTGGTTATCCAGGGGGTGGATGTCCAGGGGGTGGGTTTCCGGATACGGGCAGAAATATGTTGGCTGTTTTGCCAGACTATATAGTCAACATCAAAGTTTGAGTATATATATGTTATGCTATAACATTAAGAAAAGAAACAGAGATTGACAGATACGGGGGGTATACATATTTATACAAATTTTATTTGCAAATGTAAATCACAATAATGCAAAGCAGAATCACACAATCTACTGCTTTCAGCTAACAAATGTACAACACAAACACTATACTCCTGACAAACTTTAATACAGATAAATATGTTTGTTGATACCAACATATGGACTTACATGAGAAAATTACAATGTTTGTACATACTTACAATGAAGCAAACACATATTGCTCCAGGTTCCCCAAACCATTAAAAGTATATATTCCCACCATCAAGCTCAGTCTATTCTATTTAAGTAAATAATTTTGGACCTCTTTTTCATAAATTATAATTCCAATGACAACTTTGGAAGGAGGTTAGTTGTTACATAACGGAGAATGTTGATTAAATATGGGTCTCCTGAATAAAGAAATTTGGACTGCTACCACCCCCCCCCCCCCCCCCTCCACCTTCCCTGTCATAATGCACACCTGAGCTAGATACTTAAGCTCGGCTCAAGACTTTATAGAATTTTGTTTACGTGTCAAATTGAGAGTGCAGAATAACCATTTGCCGGCAATAATCAACAGTTGGTCCCTAGTAAAGACAGTCACTGATTGGATTAAACTTTATGTTTATGTTGTGATACAAAAGCAAAATGTTACAGTCATAATTGGAAATTCAAGAACATGGTTACGGTAAAAGAGAAAACAATGTCATGAACTATTCATGGTTTTAAGTTGACTCTCCAAAGCAAAGCTGGTATGCAACATGGTTTGTTGACAAACCAAGAGTTAGCTGAATTATTTTCCTTTTAATTCAAAAGACACCGTAGCTTAATTTACGTCTACCATAGCGTGTATGGAATTTATGCTAATTCTAGTTCAGAGCGACGTGTTCACAGACGCCATGTTTCTTTCGTTAGGAAAGGATGTTTAGGAGACGAAAGTCTTACTATGTTGTTTTAGTTAGGAAACTAAAAACCCGACTGGAGATGCCGGTATCTGGATGAACCTGCTTGAGGACTTTGTAGTCTACGTTGTATGAGTTACATTGGAAGTCTTATTGCTTTTAGAAATGACAATGCATAACATACAGATGCGATGTTAAATATCGCTTCATCTATGTAGATATGTTTAATACAATGTATTCAGGTGGTTTAATACGTTATTTAACCTGGGGCTTATTGTTGGCCATTTAGAGTGATAGTTTAAGTGAGAAAGTTGAGTTAGTAAATACATGAATGAACAAAACAGAGTAAGCTTATAAACTGGAATGTTTGCTCTATAAATGGAAGTTTGTGAGTTATGATGTAAACAAAGGACTAGGGGTTTAATCTTACATTTGATTAACGAGACGTTGTTTCGGTGATGTTTAGATTAGTCTTCGTATTCAGCGGGGAAGTTTCCTTAGTCTTAGTGAGTTTGTTATAATGAGGTTACACTACACATTTCAAGGAGTTAAAGTAGTGATTTGATTTGATTTTAGTTTCAGAACAGAGCATAGAAACTGCACTGTCAGAAATTTCTAGATTTGTTTATCTGTTGATTCAATGATAGTATATGTCGAGCTTGAAGTTGATACAGTTAATTTGATGTAGGCATTTAGCTTTCATTAGCTTAGTTGATGTTTGGATTGGATACATCAGTCTTCATTTATATGTGCAAAGATTGTACATGTATTTATTATCCTTTTGTGTCTCTTATGCATTCACAGATTGAATAAAATTCTGAACGGACCTTTAAACTCCAGTGAAATATGGTGTTTTAGAGGACTGGTTTCAAGTTCTTTGAATCAGATGGTTATGGGTAGCAAATACTTATTTCAAATACTCCATGACATACAAGGAATTCTGGGAAGACAGGGTCATCTTTCACAAAAAGAGCAAGAAAGTAGCTCCCAAGTTTTACCCAACCTGTGTCTAAGGCACCACAAACAATCACCTTGCTACAGCTCTAGAAATATTCAAGTCGTCTCGTTCCTTTGGATTTCAGTTTTTCAAAGTTCTTCATATTCCGATTTCATTGTCATATGATGATGACGGAATTCAGACTGGAAGCCTGTCATTGCTCAGAAAGACTGGACTACGACTTTCCTCCTGGTGTCGTGCGTGAATTTGTGAAGCTTGAAGATCTCGCTCTCGTAGAAGGCAGACAGGTTGAGGATGTTAATTTGACGAGCCTGAGAATACACACAGAAGACAAACAATTGAGAAATAAATGGCAACCAGACATTTCACAACAGGGAAAGCATAGATAGAGTAGCAAACAACAATAAGGTATTCACCATCAGGAAATTCTTTATATTTTTGCATTGAAAAGGAGTTTGTTGAAGAGAAACGCAAACACAGAAATCAAAGCAATCCATGCCATCTTATCAAATTAATAAATCTGATCATTTTATGTTTACACAGATTTCTGTGTTTGCGTTTCTCTTCAACAAACTCCTTTTCAATGCAAAAATATCAAGAATGTTAACACTAAACATAAACTGAACCATTCAAACCTTTACAAATTACATCAGCAAATTAGCAACATATCAATATTTAATTGCAATAAACTTTCAATGTCAAAATCAAAAGTCTTATGAATAATGAAATGATTTAGAACCAGGTTATGCTGGCAATAATGGATCGTTCACAAATCACCACTTGAGCCACGAGATTCTCACCTTGTCAGCAAGATCCTTTTCCGAGATCTCTACTATGTCTTGGTCTGTGCCATAACGTGTTTTGTGGAATGACATCTGTTCTTGCACCAGCTGTTTGAGCACAAACAGCAAGAGCTCGTTGTTGTCTCGTCGGAACGTCAGGTAGCGGGAGAAGTTCTGGACAGAAAATGAAAAGTAGGAAGAAACATTAATCTGAAGAGTCAATCAAGAGTCAATGTGAATACAGTCAAACCTGTCTATAGCAACCACCAAAAGGAAACACAAAAGGTGGTCTTTATAGACAGGTTCCTTCAGTGCATGTTTCAATGAGAAACCATTTTCAAGGGAAACAAAAAATGTGGTCTTCGTAGACAGGTGGTCACTAAAGCAGGTTTGACTGGTTTGCTTATGATGTTGTGATTCATTTCACCAAATTTCTATAAATCTGAACCGCTTTTAATACATGCCCATGAGAGTTTAAATTTTACAGCTCTTGTATTTCTTTTACTACCAAATTATGATGCAGAACTGACAAAATAGTAATTATATATTAACATCAATTAAGATGAATTGATTCATGATAATCTAGTAGTTATTTTTCAGCTTTACATTACTGTTAGACTAGAGGAAGGGTAGAAATGGTCCAATGTGAACGTACCTTGCGCATGCTTCTCATGATACTGTATTTCTGTGTATCTATGAAGCTCTCCAGCATGACCCGGATGGCCATGTTCACATCGTCTTCATTGACGTACTCTCTCAGGTGCATCTTGGCGTTGGCCTCTGCCATACGAATCACCGACTCGATGTGACGAACTGTGATGGGGATGCTGCCAGTTGCCTAAGAAAGAGAAATGAATGATTGTTACTGATACAAATGGGCAAGAGATAGGAGTCATCATTAGAATATGCAAATGAAAGAGACAAAAGAAAAGTCATTTTTTTATAAGCTGTGTATTAACCAATAGAATACTAAAATACTAAAGTCTATATTTATAGTTATAAGCAAGTTGACATTGCATAATTTTGTGCGAATTGGAAATGTATCTCACCATGGATTCCCTGCGGAGGTCAGAGTACATCTTGGCGACCTTGTCCTGGTCCATGTGATGAAGCTTAGGATGAACCTTGTCCTTGGCGTAGATCAAGTACTTTTTCAGCAACTCCTGGGGAATCTTCTCCAGACCACTGGTAGTAGGTAATCCTGATGTAACCATGGAAGATACAGAGGGAGTAAGAAATGTAAATGGGCTATCAGTGATGGACGGTACTTCAAAAAAAAATCAGCTCTGGGTGAACATATGACACAAGTCGAGCAACAAATGTTCTGGGATAAATTACTTACACACAGCAATTCCTAACTTTAACCCTTCTCCCAACACTCTACCTTATCCTAACCCTATTACCCTTATCCCACATCTTTGATGAATAAAGCCCAGAACAAATTCCAGGAGCACGCCCTCAAATCCCCTTATAGTAGCTTGACAGCACAATAGATGCTTTGCTTTGCTTTGCTCAAGAGTATTTTGTCACAACAAGGGTTATAATATCAACAAAAAAATCATTTTTAAATTCTAAAACATGTGAAGTTCACAACTGTGAAGAAAAGAAAACTGGTTTTCCTAAAAATAACAGCCCTTCCAGCTGGACACCTACCCCCTGGACATCCACCCTCCGGATAACCACCCCCCAGTCAACCACCCCCGGACAAATACCCCCTAGTAAAGTTATCCGGGGGGTAGTTGCCCTAGAGGGTGGTTGTCCTAGAGGGTGGTTGTCCTAGAGGGTGGTTGCCCTAGGAGGTAGTTGTCCAGAGGGTAGTTGTCCGGGGGGGGGGGGGGGGGGGGGGGGGGGGGGG